AACAAGTCCTTAGAATGCAGCAGACGTCGCGTGCAAATCCCACCAGCCCTCTAGGCGTAGGTGGTTAACTCTTCCCCTTCGGGGAGGGGTTGATAACTGTTGCCTATTAATCTTCACCCCCTTCCCCGAGCGACTGGGAGCCAACCGGAGTCAATGCTGCCCCCCCCCCCCACCATCCCGTTTAATTAACAATACAAAACGCACTCTGCCTCCAAATTCGGAGCATGCGCAGCGAACCCGATGCGGCCTCCGGCTGCGACGGCAGTGGCGGTGGCGGCGGCGGTGGCGGCGGCGGCGGGGAGGGGCGGCGGCGGCGGCGGCGGCGCGGCGGCGGCGTCGGCGGAGGCAGCGGCGGTGGACTCGCCTCCAATAGCTGCCTATCCAAAGACGACTGCTGAATATGCTGCGGCTAGGGACAAGCTCGGGTGCTACGTATGTGTTGTGAGGGCGGGTGGGAGTGAGCGAGACGGCTTGCGTTGCAGCGTTTAAAACGGCATCGGCGAAGGAACCAAAATCATTGATTTTACTCAGGGTTTTGGCACCATTTTGGCGTCCTGGGGGTGGTGGTGGTTGAGCCCACCCCCTTCCTGTGGTCGATCTCCTCCAAGATGGCAGCAAGAGGCGCCCAGGAGGCCCCAAGAGGCACCGAGATCGCCCCCAAATGGCCCCATGTGACCCGAAGAAACCACCAAAAGGCCCCCAGGATGCCCCAAGAGACCCCCACGAAACCCCAAGAGACCCCCCAGCGAGAATGCCGAAATCATTGATTGTATTAAGGTTGTGGCCACGTTTGGGCCTCCTGGGGGGGGCACTGCTCCAGATGACTCCACGAGCGCCTGGGGTAGCCCAAGCTGACCTCCAAGCTGGCTCAAGATATCCTAAAATTCCTCAAGATGGCTCCCACGATGCTCCACGAGGCCCCAAGACCGCTTCAAGATGGCTCCAAGTGGCCAAAGCTTCCAAAACCTGGCCGAAGCTCTCAAAACCTAAGGAACATACATTTTTTGGGGGGGCTTTCTCGCCTTTTCGCTTCCGATGGCCATCCGAGGCTTCAAGATGACTCTAAGATGGCCCAGGAGGGCTCCAAGAGCGCTCCCGAGGCCCCCAAGAACGCTTCAAGAGGGCCCCAAGAGGCGCCCAGGAGGCCCCAAGAGGCCCCAACAGGCGCCCCAGAGGCTTCCACGAGGCCCCCCAGGAGACCCCCAAGAGGCCCCAGGAAACTTTCCGAGGCACCCAAAACGCTCTAAGAGGCGCCCGGGACCGCAAAGAGGCCCCCAAGACGCTCCAAGAGGCCTCCACTGCGGGGACCCTTCCTCTGTGTGCCGCCCACTTCCCTGATCGAGGCACTTCCTCTGGGCATGGGCTGGTGGGGTTACGCGAATCGTCTAGCATTTGCATGAGATGGCGCAGTCGAAGCCATCAGTTACCTTTGCCATGTATTCGCTTCTATTGCAGTCGATAATGACTACCAACTATGATGTCGTATGCTACAATTGTGTATCTCTACTACTGATACTATGCTATATTATACCCTAATACACGATACCTCTACTCTACTCTACTCTACTCTACTCTATTATACTACTACTACTACTACTACTACTACTACTACTACTACTACCACTACTACTACTACTACTACTACTACTACTACTACGACTACTACTACTACTACTCCTACTCCTACTCCTACTCCTACTCCTACTCCTACTCCTACTACTACTACTACTACTACTACTACTACTACTACTACTTACTACTCTACTACTACTACTACTACTACTACTACTACTACTACTACTACTACGAGACTACGACTACGACTACGACTACGACGACTACTACTACTACTACACTACGACTACGACGTTACGACTACTACTACTACTACTACTACTACTACTACTACTACTACTACTACTACTACTACTACTACTACTACTACTACTACTACTACTACTACTACTACTACTACTACTACGACTACGACTACGACTACGACTACGACTACGACTACTACTACTACTACTACTACTACTACTACTACTACTACTACTACTACTACTACTACTACTACTACTACTACTACTACTACTACTACTACTACTACTACTACTACTACTACTACCACTACCACTAGCACTAGCACTAGCACTAGCACTAGCACTAGCACTAGCACTAGCACTAGCACTAGCACTAGCACTAGCACTAGCACTACCACTACCACTGCTAGTTAGGCGTAACGAACCTTTCCTTGGAAGGGCGGAAGACCTCCAGACGACCCAGACGGCCTCAGACGGGGTTTGAAGATGAGCGACCCCAAGAAGACCCCGTGGCCCTTGCAGGATCCAGACGCAGCGTCGACATGGCGTGGGGGCGAATCTAAAATGGCCCAAGATGTGAGCGATGCCCTGCAGACCAAGCGCGGTGGCCCCAGAGCGACCCGGAGGTGGCCGGAGCACTCCCAGAGTACAAGACCATGATCTTAAGATGACCTGGGTATGATTCCAAAGTGACCTCAAGACGACCCGAACACGTCATACATTGGCGGGATTGGGTCCCACTGCGGGATTTATCCGGACCCAATCCCACCAGCCCTCTGGGCGTAGGTGGTCTAGAACAGATCCTCTTCCACCTTGGGGAGGGGTTTACCCCTCCCCCTACCCCCTCCCCTGGACCTGGACGGAGGGTTTCGCGAGCGGTCGGACGGCTCTTTTGGCCCCAAGATGGCTCCAAGAGCGCCTCAGCGAGCCCAAGATAACCTCCAAGATGGCTCAAGGTAGCGCCAGATCGCTTAAGATGGCTCCCGAGATGTTCCAAGAGGGCCAAACACGGCCCCAAGACGGCTCCAAGTGGCCAAAGAGCTCCCCAAGGAGGCCCCGAAGAGGCTAAAATCGTCCCAAAACCTTAAGAAAATCAATGTTTTTTTGCTTTCTCCCCGCTTCGCTTCCAATGGCCATCCAAGGCCTCAAGATGGCTCCAAGATGGCCCAAGAGGGCCCCACAAGAGGCCCAAGAGAGCCCCAAGACGGCCCCAAGAGCGCCCAAGAGCGCTCCAAGAGCGCCCCAAGAGGCGATGTTTGGAGCTCCTGAGGGGGGAGGCTAATTAGGGAACCCCCCTTCGTTGATCGATCTCCTCCAAGATGGCCCCAAGAGCGCCCCTACAGCCCCCAAGAGCGCCCCAAGAGGCGCCCAGACGGCCCCAAGAGGCCCCAAGAGGCCTCCAAGCGGCTCCCAAGAGACCCCCAAGAAGCCTCAAGAGGATCTCCGAAATGCATTTCAAACGCTTCTGGCTCTTCGGTTCGCCGTCCTCTTCAATTTCTCATCCCCCTCTTCCTCCTCCTCCTTCTCCTCCTTCTCCTCCTTCTCATCCCTCTGCTCCTTCTCCTCCTTCTCGTCCTCCTCGTCCTCTCCCTACTCCACATTCTCCTCCTCATTCTTCTCCTCCTCCTCCTCCTCCTCCTCCTCCTCCTCCTCCTCCTCCTCTTCCTCCCCCTCCCCCTCCGACGAGGATTCCTTCTCCATCCTCCCCCTCTTGGGGTACGTGACAGCTTCCCCCGCCCTTTGTTATTCTGCATGCTCCCCGACTTTCCTGATCACCTCAACTCCCCTGGGCATCGTTTCTGGATGGGCTGGTGGGGATACGCGAAGCGCCAACAATTTCTGATGGGTGGGATTTATGGTTGGCTGGACTAAGACTATAGAAGTAAAAACGGGGAACTACTCGCCAAGGACCCCGCCGAGGCCACACAGAAAAGGCTGTCTTGCTAGGCCTCTAGGAGGGGAGGGGGTTTCAACGCATCCTGCCTCTCAACCCCGTCGGGGCCGTTGCCAAGAGGGGTGCGACGTAGACGAGCACGCAGTGCCATCAGGCCCAACTCAGAAGACTCAAAAAACTTTCGGAGCGGCTTTGTAACAGTAGTGGCAATGTCCATAACCCCCTGGTGTTGAAGCAAGTAGCTCGTGAATCGGACGCGCGCCCGAATCCCGAGACCCACCGCTCAGCTACTAAACGCTCTCAGGCCCGAGCCGTGTGAACGCCATTTGAGCCCAGCGAATGCTAAACTCAAGCGCGTGCCTCATAGCATAAGCATAAAGCTGAACGAGGACGAAAGGATAACTAAGGAGAGGACAAGGCGAAGAAAGGAGGAATGAAGGGAGAAGGTGGCAATCATGATGATCGCGATGATGTAAGAATAACGGCGATGGTGGTGATGATGATGCTGCCTGCTGCCATCGCTTGTGGGTTCAACTTGACGTCAGCCGTCAAATTCATACCGCAGACACCAGTCACACGTGCAAATGACGGTCAACCACCCCGCGCTAACCGGAAGTTAGAATCGAGAAAACACTACACTGAATGCATTTTTACCGTATGGAATGGTGGACTACGACTGCTTCGACTAAAGATCTGGACCCGTCACGCACCGATCCGCTCAACATGTTTTGTTTCCTGTGATGTTTCGTGTTACTCTCTCTCTCTCTCTGAGTGTTGCGTTGGGGTCCGCTCCTAAATTGCCTCAAGAGGTGCTTGTTGCCAGCAGTCTTGCAGCTGCTGGCGCGCCCGTGGACTCCTCAGCCCACTCGCCAGTCGGCGGCGGCGCCTTTGTATCCTTCAGCGCCTGGGCTAAGGCTGCACCTCCACAAAACTGCATGGTGGCCGAGGCGCCACCGTGGCCCCTCCCCTTTGGAGGCTTGGCTGTGACCTCGCCTGAGTAGGCGGCTCTGGTCAATTTCAAAGGCTCGCCATCCATGCTGTCCACAGCGTCGTGGTACTGAGGCTTGATCGTGAGGTACTGAGAGAAATGTCAAACGTGCAGCTCTTGGCAAACGTTGCCCCGTGCTCTGCGATACTGGTGAGTGACAGACAATTCGGCGGGTCATTCGCTTTGGGCCACGCCAGACCTTGATCGTCTCGGAGCACATCTGCATGGTGTGACTCTTCTTCTTCACCGCGGGAACGGCCCACGCAGGGACGAAGAGGTCCGACGATGGGGCTACCATGAGTACCCATGCAGATGTTGAAGCTCGCACCGAAGGCATCACTGCGCACCTGGAACATTGGGGCAGCATTCGTCGTGCAGACCGTACCGCCGGAGTAAAATATCAATGCCTTGCAGCTGCTCGTCGCCGTCAGCGTGGGGCCTTCGCTAGAAATATCAATCTCGACTCCGTCGTGTTTGTTCCTCCGCAGCAAGCAAAGGTCGTCGATGGGAACTTCCAGCCTGGCCCTGGAGGACTGGGGGCATATCATATTTACTCCGACGGCCCCAGTAGTGTCCAGCCCGAGCTCCTTCGCGTGATCCGAGAGATGCAGGGCCTGGGAGCCGCCCTCCTTGACGAAACTGTAGAGCTTATCCAACTTCGCTGTCGAAAGAACCGCTGGCTCCCGCGGCGGCTCAACAGCCTCCGCAAGCCGGCCTCCTGGTGAGTCGCTGGATTCCTCCTGCTGCCTCACGCTCGTAGGTCTCCTCCTTGGGGCGCTGGGGGGCGCAGTCGGCGAGCGCCTTCGCCCTCTCGTCGAGCGACGAACCAGCAGCTGCCACCTTCCTGATGAACTCTGCCATGGTGATGCTCCCTGACTCCTTATTGTCGCGCGTGCCGTCCAGAGCACTCAGGTGAGACATTGCAAGCGGAGTCTGGACTGACTCCGCGCAGGCCTTGGGGACCTGGGCGTCCTTCACCTTCCCCGTAACCGCCGCCGCATTCTCCAAGATGCACGCAGAGTAGCGCGCCCTCACCGCCAGGAGGTTCGCAGGAGGTTCGACAGGAGTTGCAGGGCTTTTGGGCCATCAGAGAAGAAGCTGTGAAGCGCAGCATGCACCTTGCCAGTGTCCACCACGATCTCGTTGATTGCAGCAGATGCCGACGTCGCGCCAGGCTGGAACTTCTCGAACAGCTGCGCGCCCATGACCTTCACGACTGCGAGAATGTCCGTCTGCCCTGCTATACTGTCATTGGTCAGCAACGGCCAGGTGGACATCTGAATGCTGGAGAGAAGGGGGTGCAGGCTGCAAGGCAGGTCGAAGTTGGTATAGCCAGCGAACGTCTTCAGCTCCTCGACGGCCTCGCGCTGTCCACTGAGCATCTGATCCAACTTCAGCGCGCTAGCTCGCTGGGGAACTTCAGGCGCAATGATGGCCTCGAGCGCAGCTGCCAGGTCTACCGGCAGCTTCTCCAAGTGCGACGAGCTCGCCGCCGGCGCCGAACGCGTCGCCATTGAGATCGGGGACGACGGATCCCGATTGGCCAGACTGCTTCGGGAAAATGATGCCGTAAATTTTCAACGCTTCGCGTAGGGTGGACCATTTGGTGTGCTCCGCTCCGCTGAAGGACATCTTCGTCTCAAAACAGAACTCGTAAGACATGTTGTAGATAAGGCCGCTGAGTTTGTCGAGCGCCTCGTCCGGGGCGCTCGGGAACGCCTCGGCCAAGTGCGTCTTGGGGCAGCTGACGTCCTCCAGCCAAAACTTGTTGCGCGCCGTGCTCTGTGCACTTGGCTAGGGAAGTGTTACTGCGCAACACATGACCTCATTTTCGATGGTGCCGCCGCCATTGCTTCTGCGAGCCTTCTGGCCGCGACCACGACCGCGGCCGCCGCCGCCGCTGCGGCCAGTGGCAGGAGCCTCCGTCTTCGCCACCATGGAAACAAGCCTAGGCAAGTCATTCGCCATGTCGATGTAGGCCCCACCGCTGGTAGTCGACGCTGCTTTCATCGCGATGTCGGAGGCCTTCCAGGCCTTTTTGTAGACAGCGCTTGTCTCCATGGAAGTGATGAGGAGCGACAGTAGCTGCTTCGCCTGGTCAATCCTCTGGACTATGTACTCTGGCATCCGTCCGAAGCGGCTGTTGTTCGAACCAACTGGCGAGTCCAGAGAAATGCAGAACGTCATGAGCTTAGAGACCATCCGCCTTACCTGCTCGCGTGGGCAGGTCTTGTCGAAGTGGCTCTCGACGAAGACTGTGCTGACTGCGATGGTTGCGACAGTGGGCTCGACCTCGAGGCGTGGCTCTAAATAATTGCAGTGAGTGCCTGTAAACTCCGTGAACAGTTCCCAGGTGTTCAGCTTCTCGAGGCGATGCGTGGTATTCTTCGCATTCACGTACTGGAACCAATTCTTGATCCTGATGGCGTTGCCCCTGGACGCATCTGAGTCCGAGCCGAACGTCTCGAGCGCGTGCGTCTTGTACTTCCTCTCGTAGTCAGGGGACGACGACGTGATGTTGTTGGCCTTCCTGTAGACTGCCCAAGCGGACTCCGCCTGTGAGATCAAGGCCTAGAGCTCTTGGAAGCCGATGCCCGACCCGAAGTGGAAGGTGTCGTGGATGTCGCGGAGGTACCTCACCACGTCGACAGGCATGCGGTGGTCAAAGAGCACAGAGTTGAGACCTGCTGAACCCGACGCCTGAATCTGCGCGTTCTCCTTCCGCGGATCCTCGCCGCACACTTCGTAGAGAGCCTCGGTTACGGCGCCAACACTTATCGACGTGTGCGGATCACCAGCCTTCGCAGGCACCTCTGCCCAAGACTTGACCACGTGCGCCATCGACGATGCCGCCGGTCTTGATGATCTGGTTGTACTTGTTCTTGACTGAGGTCTGCGCTCTCATGTTCTCTGGGTGCCTGGCTATGTTTTGCTGCATGGTGCCATTCACGTCCTGGTAGAAGGGGGTGCTCATATTCGAGATCCTGTAGGCCTCGAACAGCTTCTTCTGCAGCACCCGTCCGCTGAGGCCAGCGAAGCGACGGGCGACTGTGCTGGCCCCGAACAGACAATCGATAGCAGAGCCCGCCGCGCCAGGAGAGCATGGCTCCTTGGCAGGGACCAGCGCGGCGTCCATCTCAGCTTCGTCCTCCTGGGCTGCCCGGCGTGATGAGGCTGGGTGCTGAGCGACAGGCCGAATTGAGCACACAAGGCTACGGCTGGGTTTAATGACGTTTGTTTGCTGTTCGTTTTGTGGAGAACCCTCTTCGCCGCGGCTGGATTCGCATCGTTCGACGTAATGCCAAAGACGTAACTGACCGAGGCTATATTTGCACTTGTTTGGTTTGTTTACTTTTCAAGAGGGGGGGAGGTAAGGCCCTGAGGTAAGGCAGAGCACGAGAGGACATACGAGGGGAACATGACATTGTTTCACTCCCCATGTCCCGCGTATTTCACCCCTCGTGGCCCATCGTGCCTGCTACGTGTACACGCCGCTTGGCACTGCGCAGCGCTCTGAGCAGTCGAGCGCGGTCCACCCGCTGCAAGGCGCAGGCATGGGGCCCACCGGTGCGCTTGTACAACAGCGCGCGAGCATTGTCAGGCCTAGAGACGCACAAGAAAGCATGCACAAGTACAAGCCCCACAACTCCAACGTGCATGCACATCCCTGCTTGCGAGAGCATTGCTGCGCGCGATCGCTTCTGCTTGCGATTGCGCTGAAAAGACGTGCACTGAACGCCCGCGGCAAAGCGATCATATGCTGGAGTGCCCTGGGCCAGCAGAAGCTCGCGGTCAGTGTGGCAGCGATGGTCGGGATCACTGTAGACGATGCACGAGTTAGTAATCACAACTGGTAGCTTCTGCGTATCTAAAGAAACCTCGGTGTGCTTCTCTGGTTCAGGTTGAGGATGTAGACCTTTGACGTGCCAGCATTCGCTTGGTACCCCTTTCGATATTCCGCCTCCGAGGTAGCTAGGACGTGGTCCCACACGATCGGCTTGGTAGGATTTGTCGGGTCGAACTTGGTGGACAGGTCAGTCGGGGTCTTGCCCGCGGAGATGCTCGTAGGCCGCTGAGCAGCCCACTCGACTTCCCGCCGCTGCTCGGTCTCTGGTGTTACGAAGAAGTCGCTGAACGAGATCTTGCAATCTCGCTTGAACTGCCGCGTGAAGTCATTCAGCGACATGCGGAAGGAGGTGGTTTTGGAACGGGCGTACGACTGGCCATCCGAATACGGATGGGCATAAGACTGCGCCCTCCATCTCGTGCAAGTCGCCCAGCAGCTTCTCAAAAAGATACGATGGGAACTTCTTCGCGTTCTCACCCAGAACTACGGGTTTTTGGTGCACTCGTCGCTCAGATGCCCAGCTTATGAAGTATTGCGTTGTCTCGCCTGAGGCCCCTTCTGTTGGCCATGATTCGACCAGTCCGAACGCGACCGCCCAGCCGTGTGAATCTTACACGATGGGTAAATGCACAGTCTCTTGTGGTTCTGTCGCGCGCCGCGCCCTGTGGTGGCGCGGCCAGTCAGCACTGCGCGGAAAAGCTTGTCAAAGATATCGTCCGAGCCGCCCTGGAGGTCGGGGGGGGGGTTCCCGGAGCTCGGGCGCACTATGCCAGAAGTCGCCAATGTCGGTGAAGAGGCAGGTCGGCCCAGCTGGGTGCCCTTGCAGCTCTAGCTGGGCCTCCTCATGCCATTCGATTCCTGCACAATTGGGGGCGTCGTGCGCGCGTGGGGTCCCGCGGCGAAAGCGGTCCTTATTCACGGCGCCGACAATCAGGGAGCGGGCAATTGCTGGACAATCGATGCCGCTGTGCGCTGTAGACATGCCGGCATGTCCTAGTTGGGGAGCGAGTTCGACGAGGCATTCTCGAGCGCTGAGGCTTGGCGCGCGGGCGGACCCATTCGCCAACTGCTGGATCGCAGACTGTGGCCATTTGAAAGCATCATCGAGGGGCTCCGCAGTCGATGCCGCCAGGTGGGCGCGGCCGTCGTCGTCGTCGCCCAGTAACGAAACGGCAGGCAGCGCAGCAGGATCCGCACGGCGCAGTCGGCGGCTTGCCGACGCGCGATTTTGCGCTGTTGGCAGCCGTGCAGCTGGCTCTGGTTGCGGTGGCTGCCGTACTGGGCCCCATCGGAGCCTGCTTCTCAGAGGCAGCGGCAGCAGGTGGCGCTGGTGCGTCCTGCTCAGTCGGCGACTCCGTACTTGGCGCTGGCAACAGCGTCGGTGTTGGCTGCTGCGCCGTCGGCTGCGCAGCCGACTCGGCGCCCATGGGGCCCTCTCCTTTCGCCACCGCCTGGTCGCCAGCAACGGCGCGTCGACCCCCTGGGGACTTCGCCATGAGTCGAGTGCGACGGTCGCGGCTCTTGGAGCGATCAGCAGCAGGCTGCTGCCTGGCACGCGCAGCGGCTTCGGCCCGAAAGATGGCATGTCATATATCATTCGCATGCTTCGGCGCGGCAACATTCCGCACTCGACCCGATCTACGCGCCGTGGGGCGCGCTCCGGATGTGCATTCTGGAGCCGACATCGGGAAAAATCTGAACCCAAAGCGGGCTACTGAGTGACAAGTGCGCAACGTAACAAGCTGGCCCCATTGAATGCGAGGGGTCACTGACCGATTGGAGGTCACAAAGCGCGGGCAATCTCACGCGGGAGCTCATCTCGGGAATCGCTGCAGGGCGAACTGTCGAGCGTCTCGGAGCAGCTCGGGACTCGAGTTCCGAGCTGCCCCATGCATCTCGGCACTCGAGTCCCAAGCTGCACCGCCAAGCTGCACCGGGCCTCTCGGGACTCGAGGCCCGAGTTGCACCGGGCCTTTCGGGGCTCGAGTCCCGAGAGGCTTGGGGCTCCTCGGGGCTCGAGTCTCGAGAGGCCTGAAGTGAGGCCCTGAACTTAATCCCAGACGCTCCGTAGCCCCCAAAAGAGCCCCTGACTGTTCCAAGATGGTCCAAAATGCCTCCTACACAGCAGCTCGTGTCTTTGTAGCCCGCTTCCAGGCGCATTTTGTTCTTGACTTTCAAGCGGCTTTGAACGGCTGAGTTCGCCTACTTGCGTGGCCTTGAAACCGACCTCCAAGACAGCTCTAATATGGCCCAGGGGGGCTCCGCGGCAGTCCTCAGGGTACCCGAGAGAGAACGACATCTGGGAAGGGTGCGAGGCGCGAGAGGGTGTATTGCAGCATCGCTGATGCATCGCAGGTTCGCTCTGGTCCGACCTCCTCCTTCTTCCCCTCCTCCCCGCCCCCCCCCCCTTCTCACTCGGGGGCCGGTGGATCTGGAGGGCGTCAAGCCTTGCAAGGGGTGCTGATGATGATGCTGATGATGATGCTGCTGGCGATGATGATGCTGATGATGATGATGGGGGAGGAGGGGGATCTGGGGCAGCGGCCTCCCCGCGGCCGTCCGCCGTCTACAGCGCGCGCGTCGCGCAGAGGTCCACCTGGGAGCGCGGGTGCACAGGGGAGGTCGACCAGAGTTCGGGAGAGGAGGGGGGGTCGGGCAGGAAGAGGAGGGGGGGGAAGAAGAGGGGGGAGAGGGGGGAGGAGGATGAGGAGGACGAGACCTGGGGAGGAGTTGCGGGGAGGGCTTAATTGCCCTCATCTCAATTCCCCTGCTGGGCTCCCCCCTTTCTTCTGCCCTCTCTCCTCCTCCTCCTCCTCCTCCTTCCTCCTCCCCCCCCCCCCCCTTCTCCTCCTCCTCCTCCTCCTCCTCCTCCTCCTCCTCCTCCTCCTCCTCCCCCCCCCTCCGCTGCGCCATTCATCCGACGCGTTCTTATCCGCGCCCCTCCACCTCGGCGCGGCCGTCGACCTCCGCGCGGCCCGCCAGCGCGCGCTGCAGCGCGTCCTGGCAAGGTCGCGCTGGTAGCCCGAACCTGTGCAGATCGCGAGCGACCGCCTGGCAACAGCCAGCGTGCCATGACAGTGGGCAGAGTGGGCGCGTCCTCGCGTCATTCATCGCACCACCTCCGCGCACAACGCACGGCCGCGTAGTCGCGGGAGAGTGCTTCACCTCCCGCACCTGGCGAAACTTGAAGGCCTGCAGCGGCGCACAAGGCCGCTTCGGACCGACTCCTCATGTTTTTTCTTTTTCCACGGCGGCGCCAGCGGCTGGATGCGCGATCATGTTGACGTGGAACTGCTGCGGCTGGTTCGTGGGCGCACGCGGGTAAGTGATAGCGCCGGTCTCGCGACCCGCGTGCGCCACTCTGCCCAGAAGGCGGCCTTGCGGCGACCAATGTGCGCATGCCCATCTGGCGCCGTCGTCCACTCGGGCCAGCTCGCCCCTATGGCCGACGGCCTTGTCGTTCACAGAGTCGGGAAGCCATTCCAACACTCGCATACCTGTCTGCGCATTACCAGCCCGCTGTGCATGCACAATCCTCCAATTGGCGTCTGAAGATCCCACGTCTGACACGATATTCTGCGCGTCCGCGTCCGCGTCGGCGGCCGCAGCACCCGGGGAAGTTAGCGGAGCGAGCTGGAGTTCGGCGCCATCATCGGCGTCACCAGCGCTGCCGTGGGCG